GCACCTTCTTTATAGGGCTCTGCACAGTACAATGTGAGGTTAAATGTGACTAAACTCTAGAGCCAGAGCTCTCAGGTAATGTTGAGAGGTGAAGACATAATTCTGATTGATGTGTTGGAATGTAGAGATTGGCTGGCCAGTGTGTCCCAGGAAGAAACAGTTTTGGGAGTAGGATGTGGGTTGGGCCCTCTCGCCTTGCCAAAGACAGGTTGTGTTTCCTTCTTATATGTGTAACTTGTAAATGTGTGCTGCAAATGGAAAATTGTTTTTGTTCCTGTTAGAGTGAAGGGTAAGGCTGGTAAGATTAAGGAACAATGGATGAATAAAGATATTGAAGATCTAGTCAAGAATAAAAGAGAATCTTATTTTAGATATAGACAACTTGGTTGAATTGAATCTCTTAATTAATATAAAGAGACATTCTTAAGAGAGAAATCAGGAAGGCAAAGAGGGGAATATGAGGTATCATTGGCAGATAAGGTTAATGATAATCCAAATACATTACAAATACATTAAGAGCAAGGGATTACATTAAGAGAGGGGGTAGGGTTTCTTAAAGATCGAGGAGGTTGTCTTTGTGTTGAACCCCAAGAGATGGGAGAGATCCTAAATTAATATTTTGCATCAGTTTTTACTGTGGAGAAAGAATTGGAGTCTAGAGAATGTAGGGAAATAAACAATGATGTTTTAAAAACAATTCACATTACAGAAGAGGAAGATCGGGAGGTATTAGAGAATATAAGGGTGGATAAATCTCCGGGACCTGATCTAATGTATCCCAGAACGTTGTGGGAAGCGAGGGAGGAAATTACGAGACCCCTTGCAGAAATATTTGCGTCATCTATAACTACGGGTGAGGTGCCTGATGACTGGAGGGTAGCTAATGTTGTACCTTTGTTTAAGGAAAGTTCTAAAGAGAAACTAGGCAACTATAGAACTGTGAGTCTGACTTCGGTTGTGGGTAAATTGTTGGAGGGGATTATAAAAGATAGGATTCATGAATATTTGAAGAGGCAAAAATTGCTTAGGGACAGTCAGCATGATTTTGTGCGAGGAAAATAGTGTCTCACAAACTTGATTGAGATTTTTGAGCAAGTTAGCAAAGAGATTGATGATGGCAGAGTAATAGCTGTTTATTTGGAATTTAGTAAGGCCTTTGACAAGGTTCCCCATGGTAGACCAATTAGTAAAGTTAGGTCACTTGGGATTCAGGGTGAGCTTGCCAATTTGATGTATAATTGGCTTAATGGCAGGAGACAGTAATGGTGGAGGGTTGCTTTTCGAACTGAAGGCCTGTAAATGATTGGGATTGGTTCTGGGCCCTCTTTTGTTTGTCATTTATATAAATGATTTGGATGACAATATAGAAAGCATGGTTAATAAGTTTGTGGGTGACACTAAAATTGGTGGCATAATAGACAATGAAGAAGGTTTTCTAAGATTACAAAGGGATTGTGATCAATTGGACCAATGGGCTGAGAAGTGGCAGATGGAGTTTAATTTGGACAATTGTGAGGTATTGCATTTGGTGCAACAAACAAGGGTAGGGCTTATACAATTAATGGTAGGGTCTTGGGTAGTGTTGTAGAACAGAGGGACCTAGGGGTGCAGGTACATAATTCTTTGATGTTTGCATCACATAGACAGTGTTTGGTATGCTTGCCTTCATTGCACAGTCCTTTTTCAGCAAAGGAGTTGGGAAGTGATGTTGAGGTTGTACAGGACATTGGTGAGGCTCTTATGGAATACTGTATACAGTTCTGATCACCCAGTTATAGGAAGGATAATATCAAGCTGGAGAGGGTTCAAAAGAGATTTACCAGGATGTTGCCAGGTATGGAAGATTTGAAATATAAAGAAAGGCTGGATAGGCTGGGATGTTTTTCACTGGACTGTAGGAGGTTGAGAGGTGACCTGATAGAAATTTATAAAATAATGAGACGTAGAGATAGAATTAATGATAGTTGTCTTTTCCCTAGGATGGGGGGAATTTCAAGACTAGGGGACACATTTTTAAAGGTGAGAAGAGAGAGATTTAAAAAAGACAGGAGGCTTTTTTTTTTACATTGAGGGTCGTATGCATGTGAAATAAACTTCCTGAGGAAGTGGTGGATGCGGGTACAATTACAACGTTTAAAAGACATTTGGATAGATACATGAATAGGAAAGACTTGGAGGTATATGGCCCAGAAGCAGGCAGATGGGACTAGATTAGTTTGAGATTATGTTCGGCAAGGACTGGTTGGACCAAAGGGTCTGTTTCCTGTGCTTTACGACTCTGTGATGTGATCATGCCAGGAGTGACAAGAGGCAGTTTTTTTTCTGCCCCCTATCTGAGCACGCAGACTCTACTTGTGAGTGATGAGAGGCCCTTCAAAGAGCGATGCATCAATCTGACACTTACACAGTACAGGTTGACGTTATCTGTAATCACAGCTTCATGACTGTGAAATATACCCCAGTGATCCACTGTGTAGGATACAAATCATGGTCACAAGCAATCTTGATCATGTTATTGGTTATTACAGACGGATCATGGTCATCGTTGTGAGGCAGAAATAATCACAGGTCATCTTTAAAGTGGCACCTGGAGCAAGAAAACATTAAGGTAATGTAAGATCCTGTAGACAACACAGTGTGGAGCTGGAGGAACACAGCAGGCCAGGCAGCATCAGAGGAACAGGAAAGTTGATGTTTTGTGTCGGGACCCTTCTTCAGAAAAAGAACAGGGGTCCCGACCCTAAACATCAACTTTCCTGTTCCTCTGATGCTGCCTGGCCTGCTGTGTT